CTAAGCGAACCTCGAGGAGTCTCCGTTCTCCTCCTCCCCGTATGGGCGAATCACAACGCGCGCCTTCGCCCCCGTTATTACGTCGCCGATATCAGCCTCACGGTCGTTCGGTCGTTCGAGGGGGAGACGCCTGAAGGGAGAGAATAACTTGGCAACGTCCTCGCGCAGGAGAGCTCGAAGACGATGACGTTTGTTCCCATCCCATCCACGACGCGACGCGCGAGTACTCTCTACCCTGTACTCGGCTACTCGCGCACTCGCGCGGGTCGCGCGAATACCGCGGTGCCCGTGGTATCGGGGCGGCAGACGGACGGACGGATCGATCCGTCGAATCGCGTGCGCCTCGTCTCGGTCGTCTCTCGGCATCGCTTCCCCTCGCGAGAAGCCAAGAGGATCTACCTTGCGAGGAGAAATACTCGTATCTACAACAGATAGCAGAGCGATCCGCCTCCGCGTCCACACTTTCTTCCTTCTCTACGCCACAACTCCGCGACTACCTCACCTCCGTTCTTCCAGTTTTCCCATTGCTTCACACATCCCCCACGTTCGAAGGGGAGAAAGCGCGTGAGGAAGACAGGCCGCTCTCGCGACCGTCGCGACGTCGCCACCACCACTCAGGGGTGATAATTACCTTTTTTGTCGCGTCGCGTTCAAGGCATACACTGGTCACTGTATTTAAGGCACGGTTCACTACTGCTGTCCCAATCTCCTCGGGGGGCACCCGCTAAACTAGCCGCGATAATCCGGAAGCCGCGAGCGCGAATCACACACGGGGTGTACCGAGGGTGGCCGGGCACTGAACGGCCAGATGGCGCTCCCATCCGCGCGCCACCCCTGTCCCTATCATCGAAACCACCACCGACTCCTACTACCACGGACAACTTCCTCTCACCCTCCCCCCTTCCCCCCTTCCCCCCATCCCTCCTTCTCCTCCTTCCCGTCCCCCTCACCCCGGGATTTCCACGCCATCGCGTTTCTTGTGGGTGAGGAGGGAGGTGCTCGACATCGTTCCCGATTCCGTCCCATGGGCGCCGACAGAAATTTTCGTCGGATAAACCACGTGCGCAATTTTTTTCGGTAGATATACCACTACCATCACTATGACTCGAGGCTTTGCCGTTGCGCCTGTTCAAAGAAGTTTTGTGAAAAAATTCGCGTTTAATATAAAATTAATTTAACAACCGATATTTATCGAGTGAAGAATAATGATTTCGAGGTCTCGTGTTGTTGACCTCTCGCGCTATTTAAAATCCCGCTGTGCGAATTTCGTGGCATCGAAATGTGTCGGCATTAATTGACGTAAATGTAAAATTATAGAAAATAAAATAAGAGAGGGACTTTACGTTAAAAACGACGCTAAAGCGCACTATTGCTCGGCAAATGTCAGAAGCGGACTTTACGCGGTGCGAAACCGATGTTTATCTGCTTTTTAGTAGATTGCAGGATAGGAGTAACGTGATCTAAAGTTTACGCGAATCTAAAGTTAAACTCTTATCGACGTTTCTATTTATAGTATTTTGCATTTCGTTATCCTTTTAGATTTTGCGGAGTCGTTTGGAGGAATATCATTTAATAAATCAATAGATGTAAGAGTGAACTATTAGTTACGAAATATAGCGTTGCAATTTCTATCCTTCTATTCGCTGTATCTAAAGAATGGCGTGAAAGGTGCCATCACATTTGTACCACACACGGCCAGTCGCGAGAGCAACTCGCAGATTATTTTTCGAGCTTTCTTCCGTGTACTTTTATACACGCGTTATTGATTACCAAGAATATTTTCTGCGCTGCAGTGATATGCAAAACATCTTTTCGCGAGATTAATAACCTTTACCTAGCGAGAAAACTAAAAGACATGAACAAATACCTTACAGCTTATATATTTATACGAGGGTGTTGGTTAAGTATGTTGCCATACACAACAGAGCGATTCTTTGGTTTATTCAAGTAAAAAAGTCCATATAAACATATGTCCTGAACGGTTTAGTTTCCGAAATAAAAAAATTTAAACATGTAGTAATAATCTGTTTATTTGAAACAAATACAGCTTGAACTAGTCAAACTGGTCAAAGATAGGAAAACAAAAACAGGCTTAAAACAGAAATAAAATAATTAGATGAATTGTTGAAAATGTCCATCTTGAGCCATGATACATCCATCGAGTCTTATTCTTAAAGATTGACGTACACGCTCAAAGATACCAGGTGTGTTACGTATTGCCTCGCATGAAGCAACTATTCGATTCCTCAAATCATTCTCATTCTCAATTGGGCTGATATAAACCAATGATTTCAGATGCCCCCAAAGGGGTATAATCCAAAGGATTTAAGTCTGGTGATCTAGGAGGCTTCGACTTTGACTTTATCATTTTGTTTACGGTTGTTTACGGGCGAATGGTAACTCATGTGAAGCAAGGCATATTTATGCAGCAAGATCTCTCCAACGCAATTTACCGTTTCGTTAAATATTTGCGAACATTCACCTGTATTTCGGAAACTAAGCCGTTCAGGACATACGTTTATGTGGACTTTTTTACTTGAAATAAATTTTTTACTTGAAAAGAATCGCTCTGAATATGACAATATATTTAACTGACACCCTGTATATGCTGTAGAGTCTAACGGAAACAAAAATCAGAGCGTAAGTCGAATATAAAGGGAGAGCGACAGAAGGGTAAACGAAGCTTACAAAAGGCAAAAATTGAGACAATGAAACGTAAAAGAGGCGTCTATGTTTCTTTTACATTTCGTTGTCTCAAATTTTTGCCTCCTAAAAGCTTCGTTTACATTTCTGTCTCCCCTTACATTCGACTTACACTCCAATTATTATTTTTGCCAAGGCAAACTTTGCCTCCGTAAATATTTGTATTTCTTATATTCCCCTAGATAGAATACAAAATCATAAGATGAGATACAAGTCATTTTAGGAAAAATCATAATGTAATTCATTACATTTTTAACTTTATGATGACTTTATAATGAATTCTAAACATGATAATAAAAGTATCGACATCATTATGACTTTTTCTACAATGACTTTTATTTCATATCATTTTCATTTTATTATATAATTTTGTATTATATGTATATATATATATATATGTATCTAGATGTAATCCTATATGTTACATAATAAACATTTATGTTTGATTACTATAATTTATGTTATATATCTTCTATATTCATGTTATATTTTTACTTGTATGACATATTTTCTTATATTGACGCGTGTTTAGACTTTCTTCCTTATTTTGGCGCAGACATCTCGAGCGATAATGGAAACAAAACCGTGCTTTGTGAAGTTCTCTCGGTGCTTCCTAAACGCGATTTGCATACGTTTCATCAAGCGATTCTCCAATTTTCGTATGTAATGAGGGAAATGTAACGGCAGAAATAACATCGGTTTCTATGCGAGGCAAGTATATTTTCAGTAAAAATAAGCAACACGCGGACGTCGCACTCGTGGCAAAAATCGATAATTTATGATAACATTTCCGAAATTACAGTCATTCGTACGCTATAAATTACGTATAAAATTAGTTTCCTTTCACAAATGATACAGTTCCAAGGTATAATAATCTCGCAATCATAATCCAGTTATAATAAATGTAATATTGGAATAAATGGAATATAAGAGCAAACAGATAAAGCGTGCTTTTACATATTTAACACTTTATTAAAACCTTCAGTAAAATAAAAATACATAATAGGATATAAAATAAAATAGGGAAATATAAAAAACTCCGCGCACATATTATATATATCGATAATCTTATATATCTTTATACAACATTTTATTTTTAAAAACATTTTTTATATACAATGTAGATACAATTTAAACTTTAAGTTTTTTTATCATCGAAATTTCGAATTCTTCGAATTTACTAAAAAATTCGCCATCAAAATTTATGATATAAAATATACATACTGTTGCAGCAATATATCTGCAATATTTCTTTGAATATTGCAGGAATATCGCAGAATATTCCATCAATACTTCATTTTAGCGGATAATATTGTCACAATGTTGTAATCTTTCAAAGTAATATTGCTGTAACGTTGCTGTAATATTTCGTAGAGATATATACACTCAATAAGAAGATTTAAAAGTAGATTTTTTTCGACAAGTTTTGGAACACACTAACAATTATAAATGTTAGGATTTTTTGAAAGATAAATATTTCGAGTCTCTTTTGTTATTTTATTTGTATCAGAATACATCACATCATGTTTTAATCGTTTTGACGATTTTGTTATGATCTCTAGAAGTTTCTGCAGTTTCCAAAATCACTAATTTTTATTGTTTTAATCGTTGAAATTTTATCTCGCATGCTGTATACATTGTTAATTAAACTTAATACTTAAATTAAAAAAAATTTTTTTAATTAAATGAGATATATTATGATTAAAATTCGATCGAACATTTTGTACGTATATGCAACCTCGACAGTTGGTACAATCGCTCACTGTGCAACTTCATGAACAATTAACTGGATTGGCATTATGGCTCCTGCACACTAAATTGTGATTGAACGCGGAAACGTTTGCCGCGGCGCCAAAATGCGACACGATAACCAATGAACATGTTAGAAGCTATGAGCTTATTAGCTACTGTGTCACATTTTGCCTCGCGGCGAGCATTTCCGCGTCCAGTGTACAGAAGCCATTAGAAGTATGTGTCCTAATCTAAGGCTCGTGTGTGCGTTCCAAAACTCATCGAGAAGAAAGACTTTCAACCTGTCTGCTGTCAAGTGTATACGTGTTAGCATGTTTTGTAATTCGCATAGACATAACGAACTCGAGTTTTCCATCATTGCGATGTGTCATACGCACGACGATCGTTCACAGTGATAAATGCCAGTGTACTTATCGAATAACACGAGCGACGTTCATCGTTAACGTGAAAAATGGCGTGGTTCGGTGACAGTTTATCCAGTATCTCCAGTTTAAAAGGACACATCACGAATCTCACGAGGGAGGTTTTATCTGATGGTATCGTTGACGAAATAGGTACGTATTAATGTCTCCAAATTCTAACAACTCCAGATCTTGATGTTTTTGTATCGCGTAGCTTTTCCAGTAAAAGGTTAGGTTACGGCTGTCAAATGACGATTCTATTTCTTATCGACTGAGAAATTGTTACCACTTGAGTTCACTAATCACGTGGCTGGTCTATTTTTGCTTGTAATCTTTTTTAACGACTGTAATCAAAACAGTATATTGATTAGTATAAATTATATAATATGAAAGATCATATATTTTTTTATATATAATTTTTTATTAAATCTGCTACAATAGATATAACGCAATTAAAACTTTGATCGAGAATTTACACATTTAAAAAATGAATACTACAATATAATATATTTATATAATAATTACAAACGATAATTAATATTACATCGAATATGATTTAAAAATATTATTAACACTAATTTTCATTAATTTTTAAATTTGTTGTCTTTTTTCACTACAAATTAATTCTACATGTAACTTTATTATTATATCAATTTCTGTGATTTTATTGATGATTAAAACTTTGATAGAATTCATTTTTTAAATGAATATTACATTGAATATGAATGGATTTGGAAACAACAATTAATATTAATTTTTATTATTGTTTTAGATTGATTGTTTTATTTCTTTTTTTGAATTATCTTTGCAAATCAGTTTTGCGTGTAGTTTATTATTGTTTTAATTTTGCAATTATTCGTGATTGTTTATCGACATATTCTGTTTGGATTTCTGTGGGAAAATAGATATTAAAGGA